AACGATGTATTTTGCGAATTCTTTCTAAGAGAAATGTCTTATAAACTGAGTCAGTCTTTCCTGAGTCAACACGGATACTAACGTTGAATAGTGTCATAGAACTATTGTGAACATTGGTTATGTGGTAAAATGGTGGAAAATGTATTTCTTCCAATTTCTTGTGTGATTAATATACTTTCAGTATGGTATGGGTGATGGTAAAATTTTCAAACACAGCGGATTGAAGACGTATGTTCATTCGGCCGATGAACCGCGTACAATTATAATGAATTGTTGTTCAATGTTTCATCGTTACTTGTGCCTGATGGTAATGAACTTAACTACTCAAAACAATGACTAAATTGGAAAGATTGTTGCTACTTGTGCGATGTTAGTAAGTCTGTTATAAAATGACGCACCCGTTATACACCCGTTTTGAAGTGCCTTAACAACAAGGGGGGGTGTCATTTTATAATGCTGATTTAGTACCAGCTGTGTGTATTTTTTTAAAAGTGTGATCGAGTGCAATTGGAGAACAAACATTTTTTTTTATTTATGGTGAAAATTATTCTAAGTACAGTAGCATCTATATATTATATATTTGTTAAGATAAGTTTAAATATTTTATGATTATAATTTAAAAAAAATATATTTAATCAACATAAATCGACAATATATGCAAGTTCGCAAGTCGGACGAATCTCGTTCACAATTAATTCACTCCTTTACCTAAACTCTCATCACCTTGTAGACTAACAAACAGTATCACATTTAGTCGTGGATCGGATCTACTGTACATTGAGAATAAATCTACTAAGCGTTGCAATACTGAGCTATTCGTATCTCTTCAATGTATATACCCTTATCCTAGTCTACCAACTTATTCAGCTAATCTATGATTGCTGAGTTCTCCAAACTCGGTTGAAACACCGACCACACTCGGTAGAAACCCCGACAACACTAGTTGGTTCTGCAACGTTGTGTGGCCTACTGTTCTGCCTGTAATAACAATGTTTTCTATTATGCATGTTGTACGATCTGTTCCTTGTAGTGTTTGTACGATGCCATGATGCCAAATTGCTGGCACTGTGGCAATGCCAAATACTAGACGATTGTATGTAGATCCGTTTGATGTGTTAATTATGGGAAATGTTTTTTTTTTCAACTAAAATGATTTAATCCAATTGGCAAATGCAAAATGCCGAAGGTATGTAAGGGCCCGCACTTGAAATGTCTTTGCATTGCCACATTTGGTAAAATCATTTTACTTGAAAAAAACAACAAACAAACACAATGTTAGGTCAGAGGGACTGTCGACAGCCTATTAATTCCAAAAAATGATGGCAAATGACACATTTATCAATTTAAAAAGTGCTTAAAACTTCTCGAAAGGAATTAAAAAGGTTGCATAACAAATAGAAACATATACTCACTAACAATAGTTACAACAATAAACGAACAATAATTTTAAAATATATATATAAAATGCAGAATTCAATATATCTGTAATAAGCAAAAATACAATTTGTTAGGACTGTTGGTGTCTTGTGATGTACATGATTTTATGGATCGTAGGTTTTTGGATTTTCGTTAAAAGTAGGGCCTTCAATTCCTACGATTGTTTAGGTTCTTACAATATATGTAATATATAACAATTCGGATTGTTCAGCGTTTTAAGGGACAAAACTATCACCACATGGACATGCACCCCATCATACAAATCGTTAAACTTCCACTAGGGCTACCACTGACGTCGTTGTTGACAGTTTCTATGTGAATGCTAGATTGTAAACTGCTCATTAATTTCTTAAATTAAGTCCGTTTTTGCTGAACCCTTGGGTTTCTTTGCTCGTTCACTCTTTGAAGAACTGCAAACCAAGACGTCCAAATTACTATCGACATAGAAAAAAACCCCAAAAGAAACAAGACATTACATGACTTTTCTCCTAGTTGTACTAATTCATATTCAAATTAGTACTTATCGTTTATAACGTTACAAATTAGTAATATAAGATACAAACAATACGTATATTTAAATATGTCCTTTACGTACGTTATGGGTCATTTAGGGAATTGTATTTGAAACAATAAAGTCCATTAAATTAAAGTTTCTATATTTGTTTTAACAAACAAATAATTGTTGACTGTTTTCTTCAAATAAAACTTCAATAGTATGAATGTCTATGGCGGCATGTTTTAATGCTACACTAGTTACCATCTTATTCAACAACTAATTTGAAAATTGATTTCCATTGCACAGTAGTCACTTGATCATTTCGTGACATTTTGTCATTTGCACAAACACGCTTCATACCAGTCTTTACCTGTCATCTCTTCTCATGTTTTTTTTTACGTTTACAGAATCGTTTTATTTAGCACATATTCTATTGACATTTATGCTAAAAACGTACTTTCTTGCCTTTATATGACTTGCATATTTGTAGTTCATCCATGTGTGAACAGTGTCCAGCGAAAACATATTAAAAACAAAATCTAGTTTGCCTTTATATGACTTGCATATTTGTAGTTCATCCATGTGTGAACAGTGTCCAGCGAAAACATATCAAAAACAAAATCTAGTTTGAGTTAAAACCCAACTACTATATATCGATAGCACTGTACCTTATGAATTAGTGCTATCGAGTTTCAATATTTATGTAGTTGTGTCTTAAGTCCTCTATTACCGTATCTATCAGCTCTACATATACATGCATTATTGTAGCACTATATTGCTACTATATTGTAGCATTCACTAGTTTCATCGTAAATACATGCCACACTGAGCACTACTTCACTCTAGTGGAGGTCATTTTAATTATATAGTAAGTATCAAACTTTAAATAATCATATAAGAAAAGATCGTTGGGCGCTCTAGTTGACAATATCGCATTCTTGCCAAGAATTCTGTACGCAAACCGAATTCTGGCAAATAGGATTTGCCTATTTGAATCATCTAAAAATAGCTTAGTTACCAAGTAATATAGAGGGCGTTGTTGTCAAATCAATTTGCATAGTAAAACACCTTACAGCCACCCAAACTAGTACCAGCAACGTTGCGTAAGTTGCCAACCGACAGGGCAAGGGGACACTAATTCTACCACAGATGTGATCTGCCTCATTTGGTTGTAGTTATGTACAAAGGAATGGTATTGTATGCCGAACATAGTAGAAGGCGTTATTTACCATCGATAAAAAGGAATATGGTAGCACTGCGTATTGGTTATACGAGTAGTTAATGTAGTATTATTTTGCAGGTCTAAATTTGCAAGAAAGAGTGCAAAGTGAGTTGTAAGGCGAGACGATTAATAATGAGATTATCAACATAGCAAGTAAGATGACCAGTAGAATGTAAGATGATAGATTGCCATACCAAGTACTTTATTGCATTTACAAAATAAAATGTGTTGGTCCGTGATTAAATAATTCCACTTCCCCTTTCTTTATATAGTGGGGTCTAAGGCTGCGAATCACTGACTCATTCATCATTATTATTGAATGAATGAAGTGCAAAAGAATATATTCAAAGGAATGAGAGGATGGTGAAGACGTACATTTCCCTCGGTTCGATAGTATAGAGGGAAAATAGTGTCATCAATGTTACGGTGACAGTAATTGATGATATGAGATGGGCGGGCAATCACATAAGGAATAGCGGGAACAATAAGTACGTTAGTCGACTCAGCAACTCAGTAGCTTACATGTATTCAAGTTCAATTACCTCTTAGTTCACCTCTATGTGATAACAGTGTAGCCCAACATGTAGGCTTGAGTGGCGCCCTCTCCGGCCGAACATCATCAGACCCCGCTGTTGGGTTTGGAGCACCGCGGAGGGCGCAACTCACGCGACCTTGTCAGGCTAATAACAATGTAGTCCAACACATTCCCTGTACTATGTACGGACACAGGTTTCCAGATAATTTCTCGCATTTTAAAACTATAGGGTTTTTACCCCTGTTTTTTTTTCAGGGTGGCGGACACAGGAAAACAGGGATATCACAACTAGTAACAGCTCTACCATGATAGAGCGTGCAATGTAACATTTTTTTTGACTACATCTGTAAAAAAAGCTGCCGCATATGCCCCGGGGGGGGGGCTACTTCCACATTAAGTGAGTAAGGGTGTTCAGCCCACCTCTCGTAAACCATACTCACTTCTAAAACATTTTTTTTTATTTATATGCCCCTTTCTAAACACAAGTCTTTTCAGCAAAAAAAAACAAAAAAAAAAAAAAAAACAGCTCACAACTTTCGCAACCAATGAGCGGGCGATTCATTTTATTCAGCCTTTTCCGGTATTTGGCCTTGAATATAAGGACCTGTAAATAAGTAAATAAATGCTACACACATCTAAACCAAGCCATTGATAAATGACCACCCACTTCTAAACAAAATAACGTGAAATGACACCCCCGTCGGGCGGCACATACCCGTATTGCACTTTTATGCAATTAGCCTGATGAA